CAGGGTAGGAGTTTGCAAAGACCGTGAGGATGAAATTAAATTAAAAGAAAAAAAAAAAAAAGACCGTGATGATAGGGCAGGCCCAGGCCACTTTGACACGCAGGCCACCGGGAGATCTCCCGATGCTCCCGATGGCCAGTCCGGGCCAGCCAGAGAGAGACCAGAGAGAGAGACCAGAGAGAGACCAGAGAGAGACCAGAGAGAGAGACCAGAGAGAGAGACCAGAGAGAGACCAGAGAGAGAGACCAGAGAGAGACCAAAGAGAGACCAGAGAGAGAGAGACCAGAGAGAGAGACCTGAGAGAGACCTGAGAGAGACCAGAGAGAGAACAGAGAGAGACCAGAGCGAGACCAAAGAGAGGCAGAGAGACCAGAGAGAGACCAAAGAGAGACCAGAGAGAGACCAGAGAGAGACCAAAGAGAGACAGAGAGACCAGAGAGAGACCAAAGAGAGACCAGAGAGAGAGACCAGAGAGAGACCAGAGAGAGAGACCAGAGAGAGACCAGAGGGAGAGACCAGAGAGAGAGACCAGAGAGAGAGACCAGAGAGAGACCAGAGAGAGAGACCAGAGAGAGACCAGAAAGAGACCAGAGAGAGAGACCAGAGAGAGACCAAAGAGAGACCAGAGAGAGAGACCTGAGAGAGACCTGAGAGAGACCTGAGAGAGACCAGAGAGAGAGACCAGAGAGAGAGACCAGAGAGAGACCAAAGAGAGACCAAAGAGAGACCAGAGAGAGAGAGACCAGAGAGAGAGAGACCAGAGAGAGAGACCTGAGAGAGACCAGAGAGAGAACAGAGAGAGACCAGAGCGAGACCAAAGAGAGACAGAGAGACCAGAGAGAGACCAAAGAGAGACCAGAGAGAGACCAGAGAGAGACCAAAGAGAGACAGAGAGACCAGAGAGAGACCAAAGAGAGACCAGAGAGAGAGACCAGAGAGAGACCAGAGAGAGAGACCAGAGAGAGACCAGAGGGAGAGACCAGAGAGAGAGACCAGAGAGAGACCAGAGAGAGAGACCAGAGAGAGAGACCAGAGAGAGACCAGAGAGAGAGACCAGAGAGAGACCAGAAAGAGACCAGAGAGAGAGACCAGAGAGAGACCAAAGAGAGACCAGAGAGAGAGACCTGAAAGAGACCTGAGAGAGACCTGAGAGAGACCAGAGAGAGAGACCAGAGAGAGACCAAAGAGAGACCAGAGAGAGAGAGACCAGAGAGAGAGACCTGAGAGAGACCAGAGAGAGAACAGAGAGAGACCAGAGCGAGACCAAAGAGAGACAGAGAGACCAGAGAGAGACCAAAGAGAGACCAGAGAGAGACCAGAGAGAGACCAAAGAGAGACAGAGAGACCAGAGAGAGACCAAAGAGAGACCAGAGAGAGAGACCAGAGAGAGACCAGAGAGAGAGACCAGAGAGAGACCAGAGAGAGAGACCAGAGGGAGAGACCAGAGAGAGAGACCAGAGAGAGACCAGAGAGAGAGACCAGAGAGAGACCAGAAAGAGACCAGAGAGAGAGACCAGAGAGAGACCAAAGAGAGACCAGAGAGAGAGACCAGAGAGAGAGACCTGAGAGAGACCTGAGAGAGACCTGAGAGAGACCAGAGAGAGAGACCAGAGAGAGACCTGAGAGAGACCAGAGAGAGAGACCAGAGAGAGACCAGAGAGAGAGACCAGAGAGAGAGACCAGAGAGAGACCAGAGAGAGACCAGGGAGAGAGACCAGAGAGAGACCAAGGCAAGGCAAGGCAAGTTTATTTGTATAGCACAATTCATACACAAGGCAACTCAAAGTGCTGAACAAACAAAATAGCATTAAAATCATAAATAATCACAGAACATTAAAAAGAAAGATAAACATATAAAACCCCTCAGTTGTATGCACATGTTACACTCATTCATGTGCAGCATATTTTAATTTAATTCAGGCTCTGCAAAACACGTAAAACAGGAGCTCGCTCGGGGCTGTCTTCACGTAAGTAACTGTACTTCTAGCCATACACAAGTATTATTACAGACATAAATACTGTAATGAAATGTATATCTGCAATATGATCAAAACACAAAAAAAACATATTCCTCTCAGTATTATTAAATATAGATACTGTTCTAATATTCCCCAGCTTATAATCATGTCAGTAAGAGACATAAATGAATCTGAATCTGAATAACAAGTACGAAGTTGCATTGTGTGGAGAATACGCGCTGCCCTATCACTTTAGTCATGCAAGTCCACCTATCTCAACTTGACAAAGGACCCGTGTTTTATTTGAAATAAACTCTAAATTATGTTTGACTCTTCAGAAACATTCAGCCATCTTTAAACATTCTCAAATATAAAATTCTTACGAAGAAAATACAGTTTCAGATACTTTTGTGGCCGTTGTCTCGCGACTACCAACGGTTACACTATCAACTATCAACAGTGGTTATAAAAAAAATTATGGGGTGCAACTATTATGGCATGTACTAATATTACACAGTGCTACACTCAGCTAAACAGAACCGTTTTTAACCTGGTTTTAAACATTGTCAGAGAGGAGGCCTGTCTCACATCTTCAGGAAGGTTGTTACAATACAATACAATACAATTTATTCTTGTATAGCCCTAGGTCACAACAGAAGTCATCTTAGAGGACTTAACAAAACCATTGAAATCACCAACACAGGTCAGAGAATCAACAGTTAAAACACATGAAAAATATAAAGCACACACAGAAGAAAATGTCCATACATGTTGTAGAATGCTAAAGTGTCCTGATCAGTTCCAGATTTTAGCAGCATGAATCTGAAAAGCAGCCGCCCCATGTTTAGTAGCATGTAGAGATCGAACAGAAGAGGTCCCAGGATCGACCCCTGTGGTACTCCACAGGTCAGGGCCATATGATCTGAGACACAGTTTCCAATCTCCACAAAGTACTTCCTGTCTTCAAGGTAAGACCTAAACCAATTTAGGGCGGTGCCAGCGACGCCAACCCAGTCCTCTAGTCTCTCTAAGAGGATCTCATGGTCGACGGTGTCAAAGGCAGCACTTAGATCTAACAAGATTAAGATTGAGACTTTGCCTGCGTCAGTGTTCAGCCGGATATCGTTTGTAACCTTGACGAGGGCGGTCTCAGTGCTGTGGTGGGGTCTAAAGCCGGACTGAAACATGTCAAATGAGTTGTTGATTATAAGAAATCTAGTAAGCTGTAGGTAGACAACTTTTTCAAGGACTTTCCCCATAAATGGCAGATTTGAGATGGGACGATAGTTGTTAAGTACGGTGGCATCCAGACTGCTCTTTTTTAGAAGGGGCCTGATGACTGCAGTTTTCAGGGCCTTTGGGAATATTCCAGAATGAAGGGACATGTTTACTATCTGTGTGAGTGAAGGTAACAGACTGCTCAGAACAGACTTTAGAAATCTAGTGAGTAGTACATCCAGGCTGCATGTGGAGGAGCTCAAACTGGAGATTATCTCTTGGACAGTTTTATCATTTACAGATGCAAAGTGAGTTAGCTCAAAGAGCCTTTCGGGTTGTTGGATGGTTATCTGTGGATTGGAGACAATGGCGTTTTTGATCCCTTGAACCTTGTCATTGAAAAAATTAGCAAACTCATTGCATTTACGTTTGGAAGTAAGCTCTAATGGCATTTGAACAGGGGGGTTTGTTAATCTATTAACTGTTGAAAACAGAACACGCAGATTGTTACTGCAGCCTTCAATCATTTCCGAAAAATACCTTTCTCTCGTACTACGTAGTGTGAGATTTCATAACACTTTTAAGCAACTTTTGTTAAAGTTAAACTCATCATTCTATCAATGTGAGCAATGTGTGTACTTTTCCACTACTTGTTTTGACTATCTCTGCTGGCACTGTGGCAGCTGCTGATTGGAGGTCTCTGTTTCTCCTGAGTATATTACCACTTTCTGTCGTAACATCCCTTGTTCGTGTTGTTCGTGCGTCTACCATCAACAATAAAACATGTCTTCTGTCTGAATTAAAGACGCGATCCCAGACTTTGTCATCTTCTTCAGTAGCACTCGGTTAAACTCGCACAACTTATCTTTGAAGATCTCGTAATCAACCTGGAGGTTGGACTTGCTGAATAGACAAGAGTTTTGTCAACAACAAATCTATAACCAACACCTTTTTCACAAAGATAGAAATCCTGGTTTTATTCCTTGTTTTGTCGTTAATGATTTTAGAATCATAACGAGACACACACACACCTAAACACAGACACACACACACACACACGCACGCACGCACGCACACACACACACACACACAAACGGATGTACACACACACACACGTTGACATTTGAACATTGTTGCCATAGCGACCTGTTGTTTTGTGTCCAGTGTGAAAGACTTTAAGATTTTACAATATTTTTATTTTCATGGAGCAAATTGAGGAACCAGCACAATGTAAGTCCCTCAGACACACAACACAACACAACATACAATCATAACGACACACTTTATCTAAATACCTGTCACTACTTCAGTACTTTCTGGTGTCAGTATTTTTAACTGAAACTGCAGCGAGTCCTGAGCGTCTCTGAAACTGTTTGTGTTTTGGCATTTTTCTGCTTTTTTCTGTAGAAGAGTGTTCATGGTTTTACACTGGTCCAGACCAGAGTAGAGACGATTCATGGTTTTACACTGGTCCAGACCAGAGCAAAGAGATCATTCATGGTCCGTACCAAGTGGATCAGGTGAAAGTCCACTGGAGGAATGCTAACTTTTTGAAAAATGCTAATAAGGGATTTAGCATTTTCCTTTGGACCAGAGCAGAGAAAATGGTCTCTGCTGCTGTGACCTGAGGCTGTTGTGTTTTATTATTTTTTTTGATCTATTTTTACTTCTTCTTTTGTTTTGTTCTTTTTGGATGTTTTTGCTGCTGTGGACTCTTAAAGTTTAATATTATATACATTTTTCTCTTTACAAAACAATTTCAAATTCAAAAATACGCATTATTTTTTGGCTTTAAGAACCTTCTGAAACTTTTGTTCTCCTTAGGCCACGTGGAGGTCTGTGTGGAAGACCATGTAGGGGACCATGTGGAGGGCCGTGTGGAGGGCCGTGTGGAGGGCCGTGTGGAGGTCTGTGTGGGGGACCATGTGGGGGACCATGTGGGGGACCATGTGGGGGACCATGTGGAGGACTGTGTGGAGGTCCGTGTGGAGGACCGAGTGGAGGTTTGTGAGGGGGACAGGCTGGTGCTGTGCCGTCTGCCTCAGGAATGGGCCTCTCTCCCCCTCCTGCCCCCCCGCTGCCCCCCCCCACAGAGCTGCACCATCTCAGTGTTCGGCCCGGGACGAAGGAGGTCTGTGCACTACCTGGGCTACATCTGCCCCCTGCTGCCCGCCCGGGTCACCCTGAGGCACCTGGACCTACGATGGGACACACGACGGGACTCACAACGGGACTCACACCGGGACCCACGACGGGGCCCACGACGGGACTCACGACGGGACTCACGACGGGACTCACGACGGGGCCCACCACGGGACTCACGACGGAGCCCACCACGGGACCCACTGTGGGGCCCACAAAGGGACGCACTGAGAGACCGTCCCAGGACCCATAGAAACATCTCCAGGAGGCACCGACAGCTGCAGGAGAGAGCCCAGGAGCAGGACCGGCTGTTCCAGGAGAGAGACCCCCCAGTGCATCCAGGTCCAGTCCACCCAGGTCCAGTCCGCCCAGGTCCAGTCCGCCCAGGTCCAGTCCGCCCAGATCCAGTCCGCCCAGATCCAGTCCACCCAGGTCCAGTCCGCCCAGATCCAGTGCACGCAGGTTCTATGCACCAGGCCTCAGCGAGCTCGGCCTCAGCGTGCCCGGCCTCAGCGCGTCCCCACAGCCGTGAGAGAAGGTGAGGATCCACACTCTCACTGACACTTTGGGATTTCCAGTTGATTTTGTGACAATGTTGAGATCACGCCGTGTTCTGTGGATGATTCATGATGGTTCATGGGACTCCTGAGGCAGCTGTCCAGAACCAGGCCAAGCGTGCCGCGGCCCGGGCTGTTGCAGAGGCAAAAACCCGGGACTGGGAGGAGTTTGGAGAATCCATGGAGCATGACTATCGGTCGGCCTCAAAGAGATTCTGGCAAACCGTCCGGCGCCTCAGGAGGGGGAAGCAATTCTTTGCCAACACCGTGTACGGTGCAGGTGGCGAGCTGCTGACCTCGACTGGGGATATTGTCAGACAGTGAAAGGAATACTTCGAGGTTCTCCTCAATCCCCCCGTCACGTCCTTCGTTCTCGAGGCAGAGGCTGAGGATGTTGGGTTGGGTACCTCCATCTCCCTGAGGTCACCAAGGTGGTTGGCAGCCTCCTTAAGGCTCCAGGAGTGGATGAGATCCGTCCTCTAGAGTCTCTGGATGTTGTAGGACTGTCTCTGACACTCTGCAACATCACATAGAGACGTAGAGGTCTCTCAGACCGGGATCTTGGTGGTCCCTCTCAGACCGGGGTCTTGGTGGTCTCTCAGACCGGGGTCTTGGTGGTTATCTAGCTTCCTCAGGAAGAAGGTTCTAGCATTTATATTCCATCACTGAAGCAGAAACGTGCCCTGACCAACATTTCCTTCTCTTCAGACAGGACAGACCCAGCCCAGCTCCTGCGTCTCCTCCTGTTCCTCCCTTCCCCTCCCTGTCTCACCCGTTGCCAGAGGAGGTCCTGGAGCGGGAGGTGAGCCTGGTGGATGTGTACCGTGTTCTGTACGGGTCAGAGAGCGCCACGGACCTGCTGTGACACGCACTTTACTGATGAATAAACACAGAATGAACTGATGATTAAACACAGAATGAACTGATTATTAAACACAGAATGAACTGATGAATAAACACAGAATCAACTGATGAATAAACACAGAATGAACTGATAAATAAACACAGAATGAACTGATGAATAAACACAGAATGAACTGATGAATGAAACCCTGAGGAGTGAGAGGTCTGATCCAGACACACACGACAGGCCAAAAACAAGGAGACAAAAACACAGAACAGACAACATTGTGGACATTAACTGTACGGTGTGTGTGTGTGTGTGTGTGTCTGTGTGTGTGTGTGTGTGTATGTGTGTATGCGTGCACTTGTTTTCAACTCCTGGTGGGTTCCATAACCTGAGATTCCACTCACGTCATGGGGACTGGTTTTACGTGGTGGGGCCCGAACACCGGACCCCACTGGTCCAAGCTTAATAATCAATGGGTAATGCTTTTCTAACGGTCCTTATGCAGTCTCTGTAAAAATATGGAAAGGACCCCTGGAGGTTTACTTTCCTGAAAAAAGTGTGTTATGTGTCGGAACCCTGGTGGTGGGTTGCGGGATATCAAGGAGGGGCACACTGGGGCAATTTCAGTCCAGCAGGCTGGAGCCAATCATGGAGCAGCACAACAGAGGAAATCAGGTGTCAGGCTAGAAAAAGGTGCAAGTGTGTGGTTCATTAGGCTGCAAGAAATCATGGAGGAGCACACTGAAGCGCACGCTTACAAACCACTGGTAAGTGCTGACTACAAGTCATGACTTCAAATTGTTATATAGAATGATTACAAATTATTTGTTGTTTGTGCAGCTTAGTCAAGAGTCCCTAATTGATGAAGTCGACTCAGATTCTGACGATTTAACTGTCAAGAAGAAACCTGTAAAAAAGTATGGAAAAAGAAAAATCAAAAACACTTTTCTTCAAGACTCGGAAAGTGACGAACCAAAGGCAAATAAGATTGTTATCATGCAGCTGCAAAAGAAGAAAAATGGGGGGCGAGTATACAGCAAGAGACACTTCTGCCTCTACTGTTCAATGTCCTGCCACAAAATGTCCCGTCATTTGACTAGAAAACATGGAAATGAAAGTGACGTAGCCAGAGCATTGGCTCTACCTGTGAAATCTAAAGCACGTAAACTTCAGTTTGATTTGATCAGGAATAGTGGAAACCGTGAGCACAATTTTGAGGTTTTAAAGGCCGGCATTGGAACTTTAGTCCCAGCTAAACAGCCAAATTGCCCAGTTAAATCCAGTGAGTTTTTGCACTGTATAGACTGTGGGGCATTGCTTAAGCGAAAGTCGCTGTGGAGGCATGTGGCCAGGTGCCGGCTTTCACAGAAAGATGCCCAGGCTAAACCAGGTAGAAGTAGGGTCCAGTCCCTCTGCTCCCTAGCCCAGCCTGTACCGGAGGGCATCAGCAAAAAGCTGTGGTCTTTAATTTCGGCAATGCATCAGGATGAGGTCACGGGTGTTGTCAAAGCAGAAAAGGGGATTCTGAGACTCGGAGAGCACCTGTACTTAAAACACGGGCATGATAAGACAAAGCATGATTACATTAGGCAGAAAATGAGAGAAGTCGGTAGGTTAATTAACGAAGCAAAAACCGCAGGGAAACTGAAAACAATTAAGGATTTCTTTATTCCTTCCAACTTTAACCATGTGATTGATGCAGTCAGGTCTGTGGCTGGATATGATGAGGAAACAAATCAATACAAGACTCCATCCTTGGCCCTCAAACTCGGCCATAGCCTCAGAAAGCTAGCAGATATTCTTGAATGTGACTCAAAAATGGAGCATTGTGTTGATGAACTATTTATTAAAAACCTCCAACGAAGCCGGCTGCTTTTTGAGAAGAGGTGGGACGTCTGTGTTTCTTCTGCTGCCCTACAGACCCTCCGGCAAGCCAAGTGGAACACTCCGGACCTGCTCCCTCTGACTGAGGACGTTAGAGCCATGCATGCACATATTGAGGTATGTCGACCTGAATATGTGCAAACCCTAATAAGTGAGCCAACGTCTAAGCATTGGTCTAAACTGGCAGTTTTGACTCTTTGTGAGGTCATCATTTTCAATCGAAGAAGGGAAGGTGAGGTTTCAAAGATGCCACTGACAGCCTTTACCTTAAGAAGTAAGACTGGGATCCATTCTGACATTGCTCTGGGACTGTCCCAACTTGAGAAAAAGCTGTGTCAGCATTTTCAACGCATTGAAATTAAAGGGAAAAGAAGTCGGAAAGTGCCGGTTCTTTTGACTCCTGAAATGATTGCTTCGATGGAGGTGCTGGTGGAGAACAGAAGGGCCTGTTCCATCTCTGACCATAACCCATACTTCTTTTCCCGCCCGGGCGCAGACACCCACATCAGGGGATCAGACTCCCTACGCCAGGTAGCCAAAGAATGTGGTGCGGTGCATCCAGAGATGCTATCCTCAACCAAACTTAGAAAGCACATAGCTACTATGTCTACAGTTCTCAATATGAAAGAGAATGAGATGGACATACTTGCCAACTTCCTCGGCCATGACATTCGCATCCACAGGCAATATTACAGACTACCAGAGGGGACACTGGAGCTGGCCAAAATCAGCAAAGTGTTGATGGCCATGGAGCAGGGAAGAGTGACGGAATTCGAAGGAAAGAGCCTCGACCAGATACAAATTGAGCCTGAAGGTAATTCTTGATATTATTAAAATATGTATGATTTTTTTCCCCTAAAGGCCACTTGTATTTTTATTTTCTGTGCGACAGGGAGAGCAGTAGAGATCCTCTCACAAACGGACGGGCTAAAAGAAACTTCAAGCGGAGAACCTTCAACCATTCATCCAGATGCACCCCATGGTAGTGGCAGTGCCCCTTCTGGTAAGTGTACCAGGTGGGGGATTACAGCCAGGCTGCTTGGTCCTCACCCTGGGAGTGTATATTGCTAATATATTTTTATTTCTCTCCCTAGAACGTGTAAGAAAGCCATGGTCTGCATCTGAGGTGAAGGCTGTGGAGAAGACCATGACACCTTTCATACAGACTGGAAAGGTCCCTGGGAAGTCTCACTGCCTGGCCTGCATTAATGCCTCACCAGATGACCTTAGACATCGGACATGGAGTGGCATTAAATTCTATGTCAAAAATAGAATCACTGCAATTCGAAAACAAAATCTAAAATAAAATTCCTTTAAAATAGTTGTTTGGTTTCTATTGACTGTTTTGTATTACTTAAAGTCTTGGTAAAAAAAGATTATGTCTATGGGTCCCATTCTGAACGGCCCTGTCAAAGGGACCCACCAGGTAACAAAAACGTGTATGTGTGGGTGTGCAGAAAGTGTTTTGAGAGAAAAAAACCCAAGTGTTTAGGCTGTAGGACCAGGCACACGTTGAAAATCAGACTAAGTGTTTTGAGAAAAAA